TGCACGCACGCAGCACGCACGCATGTAACGGCGCACTCCGACGCTACACACGAACGACCTGTTGGCGTTGAGATACTTACTCGCATTCCGGCTCCGGAAAGTTTACGGCCCGAGGAAAGCGGCGGCAAATCGCTGAGAGCCTGCTTTTACTGACCTGACGGCACGACGTGCTAACGCAGCTTAACTCCAAGATGCATATCCGATATTTTCTTTCCATTTCAATACTCGCGACCCAAACCCGGCCTCGCCATGCATTATGTTAGATGCTGTGTGATGGTGCCTCTTGCATCTGGCGGGGTGCCTTCCGACAAATCTCCGTAAGACATGTTGCTATTGATGTTGCTGTAAGACGGCTGTAGTCACGGATCGCTAATGTCACGATGATTCACGTTAATTGATGTTATCATTACGAGGTTGGTTGATTATTTTTCTATCTCTTTAATCTATGCCTCTTATGATGCGTTCCGGATAGATTTCTCATTGTTAAACTACAGAGTAGCTTATTAGCTGTGTAAATTAAGCGTACTTATTTGCGAGCTTTCAATGCTGGTTCAACTCTTCAACGTTTACAGTGTATCTCGTGCATTCAGTCGTTCAATCATTATCTTTATGTTAATTAGATCAAGCAATTACTCAAAGTGCCATTAACTATCGCGGTCGATCGTCAGTCTGTCTGGTATCTCATACGAACCCGGATTTTCGCCTTAGAAAAACGTTTTTTTTTTACCTGTAAAGAAGCTCATGATCGATTTTCGGTTACGAAACGATATTGTCTCGTGGCGATGAACTAATGGGCTATTTGTACGGCTCTGTGATTGGTATTTAGAAATACTTCGCAGAATATACGGAGAACGATTTATAAGTAGATATTATCGTTACTTGTTTTCATCGTCTAACTTGTCATAGTTGAACATTTACACATGAATATTGAGAAATTTAGATACTCTTATTGTCTGCTCGTAGCAGAGAATCGTCATAAGCTCTGGTGTTAGTCTGTGGCATAGCACTGTAGCCATTTCCTACACGTTTTACACACGCACTGACGCGCTTGTGACATGGCACAGTGTCTCTAGTCGTATAGATTGGTAGCGCAGATCTATTGACCAAATACGACATACGCATGTATACAGTGCTAGGACACTTTATTTATCATATGGAGATTCTGTCACGTTAGGGGAAAGTAATTGTTGTAAGAGTGCGGCTGTTAGTGAGCGGGGATATAGGAGTATGTTAGGGGACGGGCTATTTATGAACGCAAGCGTTGAATTTGGAGCTGTAAAAGCGGAACGAGTGTGATCGCCAATATTTTCGTCATAGATAAGAATCTTCTGGGTGTTGTATGACGAAATTAGTGTCGATAGGAGAAGGGCGTAGTAGATGTGCGTATGGTCGTATTTAGTCATATGATGCAGGGTTAGAACTCTGATTGTGAGATACGCAGGCCACCATGGTCGTACTTAGTGCAGTCAGGCCGAGTGAGGGTAGAGCTTTCATTATGGTTCAGTACACAGTATATATGAGAAGAGTTCGCAAAAACAGGAACAGAAAAGTGATACGAAGGAGGAGGGAGTGAAAGATGCTGAACGAGCCGGAAATTTATAGTTTTTTATTTTTTCGTTGTCACTCCGATTTCTCGTTATCTTCTTATTAATGATAAAAGTCTGTAACGCGTGGAGGCTCGGCCTTAAACATGTTAAACTCTGAAATCGGAGGAGCCTATCGTGCCTCATCTGATTGTTCTATTCAGACGCTATAATTTATAGAACTAAATAGAGCAGTCGATATGCATGACATACTCTGTACATATCATACATCACAGATACATACAGTACTACATACATACACGCACGCGCACGACGACACGCTACGCGACGCTTCAGACGGCTTGACCGCACGCATCGCAGCACGCACTCGCACGTGCTAGCGGGCCAACGCACCACGCTCACGCCAGCGCACGCGACGCAGACGTACGATACCGTATCATTTTACATTTACATAGACATATCCCATTCTGAACTAGGGTCAGTGAGTGTAATGGATACAATCTATTTACAGTCGATTCGTATCTCAATCAATCCGATGGACGAATGGCGAACAGCTTGCGGTGGTAGGTAGAGCTGTAAGACACGACGGAAGGGGTTGGATGGGAAGGGGGAGAAGGTAGCGAAGGCTTGGAGGAGGATAGGAGTACACCATCTGCGGCTTGCATGCTAGTCGCGTTGGCTTCTCTGGCTATTCCGGCTCGTCGACGCTCGCTGGATGTTCTCAGAATGGATTCTGCTCGCGCGTGTGTGGTCGGCGCTGTGCTGCGCCGAGGTTACGAGGTTTCACTTTATTCGATCGGTAGTGAGATTGCAATTTGCAATATTAGAAATTCTTGCTGCCCATTGCGTCGTGGATGGCAACGGCGGTAGTTCGGTACGGCGGTGGGACTGCAGAGAACAATGGCAGCGGCAGATTTTCGGAACAGTGCATTTGATGGAAACGTTTTCTGAATAAGAATAATCTAGGGTAATGGCAAATCGCATTTCGTTGAAACTGATTAATTAGAGGAAAATGATTGATGTCTGTATTGATAATGGATGCAGTTGCGCGGTTGGGATTCGAGCTGGATAGTGGAACGCCTTCAAGTGTTCTCGACTAGTGGTGGTCAGGTGAGATGTGAGGTGAATACTCATGGCTGAAAGCAGTTGTGAAGCTGATGGAAGGCTATGGCCTAGCATAAGCGCATGCACGGTATAGAGTTGGATGACCTTCGGGCGATCGCGCGGTGAGAGCTGTGAATCAAGTTTTCAAGAATTAGTCGGGATCATATGAATTAAGGGATAGGTTATGGTGAAGCGAATGGATAGTGGACGCGCGTGATCGGAGTTTGGCTACGACGTAGTGATGCAAGTATATATTATATATTATATACTATATATATATATATAGTATTATTACTATAGTATATAACTAGGTATATATATATTTATATTGTATATATGTGTTTGCCGTGATGGTTGGTGGTGTGCGTGGTGTGTGCGGTGTGTGCCGTCGGTATGTGCGTTGTGTGTGCGTGGTGTGCGTGTGTGGCGTGTTTGCAGCGTGCGCCGGTGGACGTGAAGTGGTGGTGCGTGTGGCGTATTGCTCGCCGTGTGCGTGTGCTGGTGTGCGTGTTTGTATGTATAGAGATGCTTTGATAGTGGGAGGCTTGATATGCCGGGTATGACACCCCGAGAGAGAGAGAGAGAGAGAGAGAGAGAGAGAGAGAGAGAGAGAGAGACAGGGAGAGATGTATTCGTGGCGAGTATATGTAGCCGTGAGATATTGCTTGCAATCTGTTAGTTGGTATAAGCGATGCTCGGGTACATTCAGGTCGTCCTCGTGTCTGCATGCGAGCGTAGCCGCCGACGTCGCAGCACCGCGACATTCCGTGACAGTCGCACGCAGTTGTCGTCGCCGTCGATAAACGCGTCCACAAACGTCGCATGTCGTCGCAAGTATCCATCGCCGGAGCGATTTCAGCCGAATGTCTCGAATGTTCAAGCCGACATAATGCATATGTTATTGCCGCCATGCATTATGTATGAGCGCTCGCTATATACGTGCCGCTACTGCCGCTGCCGTGCGTTTGCATATAGACGTGTATCGTCGTACTTAAGCCAAACTTTAAACGCTTTTCACAGCGGTGTCTCGTCGGTTTTTGGTCTTTATCTTCAGCCTTTCCTTCCCGCGCTATTCTCACTTCTACTCTATCGCTCTCTTTCTTTACTTTTACCGCGGCTACGATATCAGCCGTTCGGTAGTTTGTTTTTCCTTTCACCCACGCCTCTGCATTTTAATATTCCTTGATTCCTTTCATTTCTCTCTCAATCCTTCTCTTGCATTTTACTCCCTGATATTCTTTCTTATATTGCTTTCTGATATTCTCATAATGCTCCCCCTCTCTCTGTCTGTCTACGTTATTATAAGGTTCATTAGTTTTCGCCCAGTCTCGGATACATTGTTCTTGAATTGAGTTCTTCTATTGAAATGAGAAGATGAAGGGAAAGGTGCAGTTATTAACAGTTTTTCCGACGCGCGAGCGCGCGTTTAATGCGATGCAGTAAAATAACTTGAGGTTACCGTTCGTGGGCGGATCATGTCGGTAAAAGGGCTTCATGAAACAAAACAATCGCACGCGCCATCGGAGCTGTGTAGACGAATTGTCGGAATCGGTCGCGTAGCTGCTTAAGAAATATTCATACCACACTGCCTTTCGCGTTCTCTGAACATCTCTTTTCGGTCAGCGCACATTTCTTATCAGTCTGGATATCTGTATTTCCATTCGCTTCGAGTGTTGCCGCTCGATCACTCTCCCTCGCTGTATTCTCTCTCATTCCTCTTCCTCATCATCCTCTTTCCTCCTCCACCTTCTCTCCATCTTTCCCTGCACTCCTTCTTCCTCTCGCCATCTTTCACTCTTGCTTTCCTCCAGCTCAATTTACTATATATAAAATGTCATACCTTTTCTTTCTCCTACTAGCGTGTTCCCAACTCCTGATGTCATTCTCCTCCGCTACGTCCCTATACCATCTTTCATGATAACAAACCGACAGCCAGCAAAGTTGACGTTTTCTGACCAATTTTCTTCGACGAATTTCTCGTGCGTCAAATTTCCGGTGATGAAATTTCCTCTGACAAATGTTCTCGTGACAAGTTTTTTTTCCGGTTGCCATGTGCGCCGGCACGTGTGCATACCTCAGCATCTGCGGCTATACAAAGCCAGCGCATATAAGCGGCTATTCGTGCTACGTATAGCATTGATATGTCATTGTTACATACGGCTGCATATGTCATTGTGCGCGCTCGCGCTTACGTGCAACTCTGACGTCAGCACTATAATCATTAGCAAATAATCAGAGCTCCACAGTAGTCCGAAGCTTAGGACCGAATAAAAACATTGTCGAAAACGAACGAAAAGCGAGCATATCGTAATAGAACTCGACAGTTAATTCATTCCACAATAATTTTGTTGCAGGCCGCATCGATCGCAGGGGGATAGACGACAAGCACGTGATCTGGTAAGTTATGCGTGGAGCGACAGTTCCATTTCCTGCACGGATTTTTCTTGTTCTCCCACCTAATCGGTCCATTCTTTCCTTCTATCGGGTAAAAAGTAGCGAGCCAGCGTTGACACACACACACACACACACACACACACACACACACACACGCGCGCATGCGCGCGCATTCCCGTATCACCAACTACTACAGTTTATTATACCTCTCTCGCGCGCTCCCTCCCTCGATCCCAAATTCTCTCTCTCTCTCTCAATCTCTCTCTCAATGTCTCTGTCTTTTTCTCTCGCTATCTCCCCATCCTTTATATCCTCCCTGTGCCCTTTCCGATCTCACTGTCCTGCAAATCATTTCTCATTGTACAAAATTTGATGATAAAATGACGTATAGGCACAGTATTTATTAGATTATATCTGTAGATGAGCCTCCCAGGTGGACACGTTAGGTCACAGCTCTGTGGCCAGCGTGAAGGTTGTAACGCGAGAAAAGCGACTTTCCTTTTTACGCATTATCCGGGTATTGAAATCATTTATCGTGAATGCGAGTGCAACTCCACGACTATACGCGTTTGCGCAACCGCATGCCTAATTGACTTATTAAGAATTATCCAATATTACGATTATTTGTCATAACGTAATAATGCATAGTAATTAAATTGCATGCCCAATCGAGTGGCACGTTAATTCTCCGTGGTTCTAACGAGGCGCGCCTGGGGGCGGTATAGCAGTATCGCGGCGACAACGTTGACGATGGCTGTCTGTGAACTTGTACATTTCAGTTTCGCGCGACCCGGATGCAATAGAAAAATATTTCGGCGAGCGATTCGCAAGAACATCCACTTTCGAACGCCGCTAAAATTTCCGACAGTTCACGTGCGTTTAATTAATTATAGCGTGTTGCAATGCTCTAGCTTCGAGCTAGCGCAACAGACAATCGACAAGCTTAAGTGCATAGCAGTGATCGTCCGATCGCTTATACATAATTGCGTCGAGGTGTGTCTAATATACAGCGAAAAGTCGCGATTTGCGCACGAGACAAACTCAATCGAAAACTCGAAAGGCTGGCGGCTTAATGGCACCACTGACGTTATTAGCGACGCATAGCTAAGTAGCTGCTTTGCTAGCATCGCGTAGAATGTTTTCTCTGAATGTAATGTGTAGTTTCTCATGGATGCTTTGTTCGTTTTGCGTTCGTTTTCCCGGGATTTCGCTTCGACGCGCCATCGCGCTGTCTCGCTCTTTAGCTCGTTGCGAGTAAAACAGGGTTTTAAGTGTGCTCTGTTAGGGTTTTCTCACGCTCTGTTGTCCGAGTCTGTGCAACTCTCCATTCTCAGTGTGTACATGTATATATAATATATTATAGCTACATGCTTGTCACAGAACGAGAGCGATATTTCACCGTATCTCTGTTACGTTACATTGCGACATATCTTGTAACGGAGCGAGATAGATTTGATCAGTATGTTTTTTCCGATTAATGACATTTCATTACACATAGAAGTCGGACCATGCTATCAACAGTTGCACTGTACAATCACTATTTAGATTAGTATCACGGCTTTTATAAGAGACTCACACCAAGCGCATGTACACAAAGCTACACCGAATTGCGAAACCGAAACCGACACCGATTCAATTACCATGAGGATTTGATAAATTCCGGCATTCTTTGTCGAACTAAACGTCGTTCAACGGTAGCGTTTAACAATATGACGTCGAAGGGTTACAATCCTTAATATACACATTTACTGATATGCAAGGAGTGCCGGTAAGTATCAGAACGGTCGAGAACATATGAAAACGGTTGATATAAACACGATACACATCCTCCTTTTTAAGGTTTACTGGCGCTTCCCAGTGGGTTGGTGGCGCTGATGTGTATGGACGTCTGCTGTCGCACGATCAGCACCCAGCACCGCCTGGCGGACGTGATACGTCATTACAAACTGAAGCTGTTCGTCAGATTGCTGGGCATGTGGGCCTACAGGAATCTAATGCGAGGAACACACGATGTTAAAACAGCGCAGGTGGGGGTTTCATTCCGCTTTTACTAAAGCTTATTTATACCAGGGGTTAATAATGAAAAATGGGTTGTCATTATTAACCCCAGTTTATACTATATCATATATTAGTCTATATAAAGTATATACTATCAGCCTATATAAACTTTATTATATACTGTTATCCTATATAAGCTATATATTGTGGCGGATACGCCTAGTTTCCCATCAGACCTGACGTGATCTGGACGACCCGGGCGAGGAATGTACGTCCGGTGTGTTCGCGCGCGCGGGAACGCGAGAGATAAAAAGGCTGGGCGTGCGGCCACAAGAGGGAGAACGGGGAATAGGAGTAGAGGAGAGTGGAGTCGAGTACCGCAAGCAGGAGGAAGAAGAGGAGGCTACGTACGAAGAAAAGTGTAAGAAGAAAGTCGAAGAAGACGATGACAACGACCATTGGTGATGATGTTGTCGCCGCCGCCGTCGTCGTCATCGTTGTTGTTGTTGATAATGATGACGTTATGGTGATGATGATATAATGCTGCTGCTGCTGCTGATGATGATGATGATGATGATGCTGATGATGATGATGAGGATGAGGATGATGATGCCTGAACACACGCACACCTCCGCCTTCGCATGCCTGCTCGCGTGTACTTGGCAGCTTATTCATTGGTCGCCAAATCCTTATAGGCCGTTATGCATATAAACGAGAGGATTTTTTTTATCTCCAACCCTCTCCATATTAGGAGAGAAAGAAGAAAAGCTTTGTTCCTAGTGACGGGCCCTGTCGTATCTTCGTTGGAATGGCACTGTCCTCGTTTATCGAATGCATAACGATGCATCGATGACTGTTTCTGAACTTTCAAGTTACACAATGTCGCACGGCGTCTCAATCAGTCTCTACCAGATATTATTTGTGTTTGAATATTGAATCGAATGAGCGTGGAAGTGAGTGATGTTTGTAGGCGCCCGTACGACAACGGGATGGGATAGCGAGAGAGCGCTACCATTCGCACAAATTGCGATGGTAAACAATAAAACGAGAAATAAGCGATTATCAGTATAGAAGCTACGGCGTATGTGAACGCGAAAGAACACTGCAGCCTCAAACCATAATAAAGGAAGCTACTGTTGCAGTCGCGTTATCAGTGTGACTGTCGCCATCGTCAGCGTCGTCAGCGTCGCCGTCATCTCAACATTGTATATATACACACTATCATCGTCAGCATTATTATTGTAATTGTTATCATGATTATTTTTTATTTTTATTTTTTTTTATTTGTTATTATTATATTATTTTTTTATTATCGTTATTAACATCCTCATCACTATCAACAACATCATCGTCATCGGTGTCGTCGTCGTCATCATCGTCAGGTTGTATTGTAGCAATTAGTCCAGTTTATAGCTGAAGGGATCTTCCACTTCACGCATGCTCTACTTGTACTATCCGGCATCTTGTGTTGCGTGTGTTATCGTTGATAGCCAGCAGAGTCGGCGACGGGAGTGCTTCTCTCTGCGGCCGACATTGTTAAAGCAATGACGGTAGTGTCGCTGCTTGCGACGACGACGTCGCTCTCCTGACGTCACCGCCGATACTTTATATTTCGCATTACAATGCCGCCGCTAGATTTAATGCATTGCAAGTGGATATTATGTCTCGAAACTGCCTGCCATTATCCGATGATTTACTCCCAACCTGTGCCCGTGTAAGCACACATCAGCATTAGGTTGTCGTAAGTGCTATTATTTAAAACGTTAATTCACCTCGTTTGGATAATTGTATTTTTTTTTTTGCATTCGCGTTCTAAGCCCCCTATTTTCACACGATGAATTATTGCTTTATAATTATTGCGTCAGACGCACAGGGTTGATGTAGACTCGCCGTTGTCGTCGCTGGCGGTCGTGTTTAAACCTTGCCGACGTGATTCAGGCCCGTGAACCCATCATCACCGTCATTATCACCGTAACAATGTTCACCGTCACAGAGTTGGTCTAGGAACCGAACGCTATGCGCGCTGGTCGTATTTGCGCGCGTGTTCGCTTGCATTGTGTGCGTGCGTGCGCGCATACGTTGTCAGCATGCGCGCGGTACATTCTTGCCTGCGTGCGTGCATACGTTCTAGGCTGCGTGCGTACATACGTTCTAGGCTGCGTGCGGGCATACGTTCTAGGCTGCGTGCGTGCATACGTTCTAGGCTGCGTGCGCGCATATGTTCTTGGGTGCGTGCGTGCATACGTTCTTGGGTGCGCGCGTACATACGTTCTAGACAGCGTGCGTGTATACGTTCTAGGCTGCGGGCGTGTATATGTTCTAGGCTGCGTGCGTGTATACGTTCTAGGCTGCGTGCGTGTATACGTTCTAGGCTGCGTGCGTGCATACGTTCTAGGCTGCGTGCGTGTATACGTTCTAGGCTGCGTGCGTGCATACGTTCTAGGCTGCGTGCGTGTATACGTTCTAGGCTGTCGTGCGTGTATTAACGTTCTAGCTGTGGGTGCGTGTATACGTTTCTAGCTGCGGTGCGTGCGCATACGTTCTTGAAGCGTGCGTGCATACGTTCTAGACAGCGTGCGTGGCAATACGTTCTAAGACTGTGTGCGTGCATACGTTCTAGGCTGCGTGCGTGCAATATGTTCTACAGGCTGTCGTGCGTGTATATTACTTCTAGGCTGCGGGCGTGGTATACGTTCTAGCTGCGCGCGTGTATACGTTTCTAGGCTGCGTGCGGTGTATACGTTCTAGGCTGCGTGAAGTGCATACGTTTTTGGGGTGCGTGCGTGGCATGACGTTCGAGGCTGCGTGCTGTATACGTTTCTAGGCTGCGTGGCGTGCATACGTTCTAGGCTGCGTGCGCTGCATACGTTCTAGGGCTGCGTGCGTGCATACGTTCTAGCTGCGGTGGCGTAACATATCGTTCTAGGCTGTCGTGCGTGCATACGTTCTACGGCTGCCGTGCGGTGCATGAATGTTCTAGGGCTGCGTGCGTGTATAATACGTTC